AAATATTATATATTGAGGAAGCAAATTGAGTTGCTATCGGATGTTTGTCTCCCAAGTTCATTTTATGCGGCATTGAAAAATATTGATTCCACTAATTGAAGGGTATTCTGTCTGTCGAATCTTGATCTGCTTCCACCGGAAAACAGTTTTATTGTTATCAACCTTCGAGTAACGGAACAAGGTGAGGGAGTTTATGCCAGGATTCTTATTAAAGGAATCGATGTTGTTTGTTTGGTCCCGTTTTACGACCAATATTATAGTGCACAGATATCGACTCTTGGGATGAATCCTATGGCAGATGCACATCGGAAATACCAATTACAGCTACCGATGACTTTTTATGAGAGAGCAGTACAACGATCTGGAATAATTGTCATTCGAGAACATTTGTACCGGATAAAACTACCACCTCACGTGGATTTGCGAATAGACTGCTCACCACAAGAAAAATCGCCCCAGATCTAATATTAGACAATTGAATTATTTTCAGAAATGGTCTACTCATGCAGATTGAAAGTAAAAAATGCAATCTCGCGAGATTGGGGCTCAGGCAAGCTCGCGAGATTGGCATTTTGTGTGTTTATTCTTTGAAAGAATTACAATTTTTGGATAAATTAGGACAAAAATAACAATAATCACAGGTATCATGAAATAAACATGTTATCGCTTGTTGTACACGAAAGGAAATCCCTATGATGTTCGAAGAACATCATGTGTTCCTAGGGAGGATAGGGAGAGGAGCTAAGTGTTGGATTTTTTTTTGAATTGTTTTAGACTATAAGTTCTTGAAAATACTTCCGTAGGCAATAAATTCCAGAGCTTTCCCGTTCTATAGAGGAACTAGTTTTGATATAATGGTGTACGAAATATTTCGAGATTGACAACAAAAGGATGTGCTGACTGCTCTTGTCGAGTTCGTCTGGCTGGTATTGATAGTCGTGGAATGATAGCTGAGATTTATGATTCTTTTTCAATCAACTTTAATGTATTTAACATTCAACATTGTTTGACGTATGTATCTATCATTCTTTTATATAAACTTCTAAGTAGTAAACTCTGACGTATCGAATCGAATAAGAAATAAAATAAACAGCCAGTCTTCTCTTCTAATATCGAACAGGAGTCTTGTAATAATAAAACAGTTCTTCAATAACAAAACAACAAGAAGTCAAAAACCCAAATGAAACTCATCAACCAAGTTGAGTTGACTATTGAACTGAAATATTATTATCACATGAAGAAAGCCATACCTACTCAGAAATCTATAAAAAATTGGAGATCAATTAGCAAAATATACCCAATCAAATGAAAGGCTTGTCAGTTTACATCACACGCCACACGGTAACAAATTTTGAGTTGATTTCAACGCCAGGTCCACACAATAAAGTGTCAATCCAGGTCCAAACCGGACTGTGTAACTATTTTATAGCTACCCTTCGAATTCCAGATTTCATAAAATGTCTCAAGAGTATGAAAATTGTTCGAGAAATCATTCATACAATTCTGATTGAAATTCAACAAAATTTGAGTTCTTGATGAAACTAATTGTGCATTTCTATTTTGACTCAATAGGATGTTGTATCGTGCAAAAATGTGCAATCTCGTTAAACTCGCCCATTTTTCGGTCGAGATCAATCTCGCTAAAGAAGGCCAAGATCTCGCGAAAACGAAATATCGCGAGAACGAGACTGCATTCCCTAATTGATCTATCACTGAAAAGGTATCTTATTGTTTTCCTGAAATGAATAATTTAATCCATAATGAGTTGGCAATGCCAATTCAGAATTCTCAAATGAATCCAATGAAGGTGCATGAGATTTTGAACGTTATAAACTTCTGACAAGCCCTGAACATGGTAGATTCGACTACAGTATAATGTTATACTACAATTTAAAAATTGTTTTTTCAGTTCATTCTACCTACGCTTTATCCTTAGATACTATGAAATTATTTATTTAGCGATAGCTCAGGTTTATGAAATATATAAAAGAAGTCATCTGAACAGCTGCCCAGAAGAAACCGGACATGAACTTTCCCTTCAAGATAGATAAACGCTCATTACAATAAAAACATTTGAAGTTGGTAACGAGCTAAGTTTGGGATAGGAGTTTTCTTGATTCACAAGCTGTTCGGGTATCGACACAAAGTGAGCCCCCATATGCACCCGTGAGACAAAGCTCTCGATATCGATTGGTACAGGGCGATCCATCTTAGAAAGTATATCTAATCTTCTACGGGCTTATGTGCTACACAGATGAAATAGGGTGCGGCGATTTTCGTCCCAATTCGTTTTTGTCCATATAGATTTACTTTGATTCTGAGCGCATCAATTCAGACGACGATTGTATTGTTTTTTTTTAATTGACTCGGCCGTCACTTGTTGGAAATCCTTGGCAGACGTAAAAATTTCCCAAACGATAAGAGAAGAAGAGAATAGTAGCTTCGTCAGGTGATATACTGGTACAGTGAACTAAACCAACCTTTGCTTGCTCAACTTTTATATATCCTACGTTCCCAACTTGAAGGATCAGTTACTTGTGTACAGGTTCGATAAACCTTCATTCTCGGAAATAAGGCACAAATATGTACATTAAAATTACTGTACCGGATTAACTGAATTAACGGATTAACGGATTAACTTGACTATCAACCCTTTCAAGTTAATCCGGTACACCGTATTTCAATGTAAATATTGTGCTAAATTTCCGAAAATGAAGGTTTATCCAACCCGTCCATAGGCAACTAATCCTTCAAGTTGGGAGAGTAGGATGTATAAAAGTTCAGCAAGCCAAGGTTGGTTTAGTTCATTGTACCAGTATATACCTGACGAAGTTACTGTGTTAGCGAAACATGTTGTGCTCTCGAGAATTTTGTGTAAATCTTATCGTTTGGGATGTTTTTACGATTGTATTGGTATTGAATGTTTCAGTCAGTCGAGTGTTGAATTCTCTAACTTCCAGGTATAAGGAATAACAGATGCATCCACGTTGTGTTGATCCATCCTCATAGGTATACATGGAAATGTTGATATGTTTTATACCGAGCAGTTGGTATGATTCCGGTTTGTCGATAACAGATTCGAAATTCAATGCTGGGTTCGGACTATAGATTGTTATGGAATTATAATTCAAATTGAATAGAGCACATAAATGAATGATTGATCACCTAACGATTAGAACAGATATCGAAACTCAAACCTCAATGAATCTTATTTTCACAACTGAAGCATCGCTGCATCGATGTCGAAAAAAATTCTGAGCTAACCCTATGCATTTGAGATAATCTAATATATATGCTGATGTGCCAGTTCATTGCCCTATTCATCAATCATTTCTATCCAGGAATCCAAATCCAATTTTAAATTCGAAACTTCAACAGTCTATTCATCTTATTAAAAAAAGTCGCATAATTCGATTTAAACTCGGAAGGAAGTTTTGATTAAGAAGGCATCCAATTAAGGACACTCCGTATGCATTATTCGCTAATAGGAAAAACTCGAGTGAAGGTTGAAGGCTAACTAGATGGGAGCAAAAGAGTAAGAAAGATCGTACAAAACGGGAATTTCGAAATTTGTAACTCCAGTGATCGGTCAACTACTGGCGCTTGAAAAAGCTTCAGATCACAATATTGGTAATATAAACTGGATAATGATGACACATAGTAATTAACCTAGAATTCATCTGTTGAGTGCCTGTTAATAACTACGTACTCTACATACTCTTGAATTCGCATATTTCCACTTTTTTTTTGTATAGAGACAATCCGTTTGAATTATATTTGGCAACCTCAGGTAAATCACCCTTTATAGAAGATCATGATTCTCATCTGCTCCTTAATTCAATGTTCGTGACACTTCACATCTTCTAATGATAGTAAGGAAATCGGGATGGTCTTCACTTGTCACAACGATTTAGACCATTTTTTCACAGCTGGAAATTTTCTGAAACATCCTGTGAGTACAAAGTAGATGTCTATAGAATCCAAAAGTCAGCTGAAGGGCTTATACCAATGTCTTTTATGCGGCATTTGTCATTTTTGCCCTCTCACTACTGTTTTTGTCGACTATATGGATTATATTCGTATATTATATTCAACAGGTCGCTGCCATTAATCTGACCGCTTCACAAAACATAATTTGCGTTCTGTGGAAAATTATTATTTGCATGTTGTACCCAAATTACCTAATAAATTATTTTCGTTTCCATAATAATGGTTGATTCACGGCTCTCTGTTATTAACAATAATACCTAGCTTCATTTAGAAGGGAAATGCTATGTGAATCCTCATGACTGGACTTGTGTTTGTGGTTTGTTATTCATGAAATATCCTGTGTTCCAGGTGCTTTGACATTTTCGTCCCGAAAAATCAGGAAACTCCGCTGAATTACATTAGAATCTACGATTAATAAATACGAAAATTCTTCAAATTAATATTCACATATTTATATAAATTGAGAGTTAGACAATATAAAAGGATGAAAACATCACAAACAGGTTGAGATTTTACTGCTAACGGGAAAATATTATTGGTTGGTGGCCTTATATATCTCTTATTTGAAATACTTATGAACAAGTTTATGATCCAATCAGTTCTAAAATGTATTGTATGTATTTATATAAAGATTTTCATGCAGATACTGTTCTTGCACGTTTATGATTCAACTTATATTTCTCATCAGTTGTCTGAATATTGAAAATTGACAATTATCTGAGAATTATTATTCATTGTTCCTCTCCGAACATTCCTATTCAATTTTTTCATTCACTATAAGCTTCAATTATAGCTTTATGAGTGGACATCAATTTAGTCAGGTTAGGTCAGCCAATGAGATCGATGTCTATTATCAAAAAGATATGTTGACCCACTGAGTTATAAAACAATTTTCAGTTCCGATGCATCATTTTTGCCTCACTCTGTACATCAGTGGGCCCATGATTATGTGGATGGTTATCCCGATCGTTACATAATGCAGTCATTTGACTCGGTATTTGGTTTGTTTCAGGTCGCTTGGATGCATTTCGAGCAATCAGCCATCTTGACAGTGCATAATCACGTGATAACGAGGAATCCACGTATCAGTGTGACCCACGACAAACACAGGACATGGTTTCTGCATATTAATAATGTCCAGGAAGAGGACAAAGGAAGATATATGTGTCAAATCAATACGGTTACGGCCAAAACCCAATTTGGATTTCTCCATGTCGTCGGTAAGTATACAGAATCCTATCCACATGCAACCAAGATATGAGTTCTGGGCCTTGTTTCAGTTCAAAAATGAAATTTCAAAGCGATGTAAAATACTTATGAGTTGTACATCAGAGAAAAAAATCACTAGCGAATTCCGAAGATCGTCATGTTTCCTTCGTTTTCAGTATCACTCGAAACACGATTATGATGGAACATCGCTTTATCATGATTGATCCATTCGATATGTCTCCCGTGTATTAAGTAATAAGTACCTCTTTTCCTAATTACTGGGACTGTCTAATGACATGGAAAAAATCATGGGAGCCTATATCGCTCCTTCGTGAATGATTCAATGATATCCATAACAGGATTGACCGGATTCCACTAACTCCTTCGCAGATTAGATTGGTATTGAATAACTGTCATTAGAAGTTACCCGAATCCTGAGTTATTAAAATCAAGTTAGGATTATCCAATCTTGGAATATTGTTAGCAACTCTTATATAAGATACTCGAATCCCTGGAAATCTAAAAAATCACTACATCAAAACCTTGTATGAAATGAAAGCGATGTAGCTTCTGCAGTTAATTCAGGATAATTAAAGAGGACTCTCATTGACTGCACCTTGAAGAAGATATATTTTCTGATTCAAAATCTTCCAGTTTTCGTTAAAATCCAACAGGTTGGAGTTTTAAAGTCAGCATGTTAAGTAATTTATCGGTATTGTACCGCATAGGTATGAATTCGGTCGTTTATCTCAACTCGAATACAGCTGAAAGCGATTATGGGAGATCTCAAGTGCATTGTCAAAACTATAACTATTAATAACTCTGGAAGCGGCAATCCCCATCTTTTTGTCTGGAAATCTGTAACAGATGAATAATTACTTATGAGGTCACAGTTGTTAATTAAGAAATTAATGTTTCTAACTTGAGATTTGTAGGTTTTATTCAACTGTTGTTTTCCACCGTTATATCTATATAATTACTTCCTGAAAAGTTACCACTTCCTTTCTTGTGCCGTCACTTCACACGGAATTATCATTAAGGAAAAAATTTGAAATATTAGGTAATATCGAAATCATTCACATTTAAAATTTGGAATTGCGGTATAGTTGGAGATGAAGTACAATAAACTGATTGAAGAATACAATACACTATGAATTTCAGAATGGTTCAAGTATCTAGAAAATGATATCGTCGTTGTTGCCAGATTTTTCGTTTTTCGAGAATGTTGATGTGACTTTTGTGGAGACAGAAAATGTGGAAATGATACACTATTGGAGATGTAGCGCTGATTTTTACAAAAGCGATTATTTTTTATTTTTCTTTGTCAAGAATAACAAATTGTTATGGTACTGAAAGTATCAATCTAGATTAAAGCAGTTTCAATCTTCTCCTGAAGATACTAACTTAGTTAGCGAATCACGTGTCGAGGCGTTAAATAGATTGGTTAGTGGTGTAGTGGGATAACTTTTTGTGGCCATGTATACCGGGGGTGTATAATTTGCTGACCAAAATTGAAGTATGCTGACCGAGCATTTCTGATTCGAATTTTCTATTCAGATTGCATATTTGATTATCTTATATAAATAAATATATGCCACCAGGGAAATTATTTCGATATTTTCAAAAATCCTTGCTGATCGAGCATTTTTCATTCGAATGTTTCCTTCGAATTGCATATTTGAATATCTTATACAGCAAGAATAAACTACCCCTCTCAAGGGGTGGATCGAAACAATTCCACCGGTGGCATCTATAAATTTATATGAGATATCCAAATATGTAATTTGATGGTAAAATACGAATCAGCAATGCTCGGTCAGCAAGGATTTTTGAAAAACTGCAAGAATAAACTACCCCTCCGGAGGGGTGGTTCGGAATTATTTTATTGATGGCATCTATATATCCATATACAATATTCAAATATGCAATTTGAGGAAAAATTCGACCTAGAAAGGCTTGGTCAGCATACTTCAATAATCTTGGTCAGCAAATTATATTTCCCCATGTATACCTGTTTGAGCGATCGGAGGTTGCGCCAAATTGTTGAATATTCAAATCATCGCACTATATCCTCGCCCACCAAATCAGGATACTTTTCTGGAAATCCCAATTCCAGCACTGTTCCGCAGTGCTAAATTATTTATAACCACCTTTCGCTCTCATCTGTAGGTAATAATCAGATAGATCTACCGTCACTTCTCGTTAACTTGGTCCACTGATATATTTTATTCATGAAAGGATCCGATAGAACTATCACTGTTCGAACTGGTTTCATTATCAGACCACCAGGACGGATTTCACTAGCGAGATCTTAGGGCGTTCGAAATTCACGTCTGAATGAGCAATGAACTAATTGGAAACTGAAAGCTAGAGGGCTGGAGAGGTTTTCAAATTATTTAACGAAGTTATGAACATTATGTAGATCATGAATCAAATCAATACCTGCGGAGTATTTCGAATGAAAACATGTTTTATTATCTCTTGAAGCGCACGATAGGAAATCCCTATAATGTTCGTGGAACATCGTGCGTACCTAGGGACGACAGGAAGAAGAAGTAGGTGTTGCATTTTTTTTTGAACTTCTTGGAGTTTCTTGAAAATACTTCCATTGGCGAAGAATTCCAAAGCTTTTCCGTTCTACAGACGAACGAGTGTTGGTACAGTGTTGTTCGACATATGTCGAGGTTGACAACGAATTGATGTGCTGACTGGGCTTGTCGAGTTCGTCTGACTAGTATTGCTAGTGATGAAATGATAGCAGGGATTTATGAGGAACATTTCCCGTGGAAGTATACAGGGTGTTACATAATTCAATACAAATATTTTAATGACATATTCCTGGGGTCGAAATAAGACTTCTTTTTCCTATAAACATGTGTCCTAAAATCCACCCCCTCCAAGCTACAGACATCGCGTGTAATGGTAAGTTGAGGAAAGTGAATCGATTGTGACATGACGGTTATGACATACCACAATGTCAGTTTGGCATAAAAGATATTAATTAATCATTAGTTACCAGAGACAAACATAATCATAGCTCACTAAGTTTTTTTAGTATAATAATTTGAAAATACACCCCTTTCATTTACTAGCGATTTTCTCTAAAACGGTTAGCTAATTCAAGAAAATGCAAGAGACTGAAATGTATGATTTTTTAGTGGCCAATTCAACGATGATGTTTGAATTCAAATTATTTTGGAGGAAATAGAAAATGTTTGCCATCAAATCTGTATGCAACCCTCATTCACCCCTTTCGATTCGAGTTACCTTATTTTTGAATCAAGAAATGAATAGATCGTCTAAAAATACAAGTGCCTGTGAATTTTCAAAATATTTGATGCATAATTGTAGCCACAATTCAAAATTTAAGATTTTTTTTGCGCAACTTGCGATGTCTGTAGCTTGGAGGGGGTGGATTTTAGGACACATGTTTATAGGAAAAAAAAGTCTTATTTTGACCCCAGGAATATGTCATTGAAATATTTGTATTGAATTATGTAACACCCTGTATATAGAAAAGTGAAAGGTCGGTGACTTCCGTATCTGTGCTTAGAAAATCATGAAGAGCTGTCGAAGTGTGAAGTAGATTTTCGCACGGACCGAAAATCCGAGTTTTTGTGGAGCAGATTTCGCGATGGATCGGACATGATTTTCCCATAAAAGAGTACTTGGTGAGAATGGTGCTACAGTCATTATAATATCAGAAATTCTGTGTTTCGCCTTTCTAGAGAAAACGCATCAGGTTTGAGTTTTATTGTCGTTGAATTCAACTAGGAAGTTGGTTTTACAGGCTGGTGTCATTGACAACTTTGACCTGCCTTCGTCGTTTCTCCTTAGTTCCTTTGGAAGATTCATTTTACTTGGTTCTTTGGGATTTTCTCTCCTCGTTTCTATAAAATGAAAGTATTCGTATTATTTCAATATATTTGTAGAGGGACAAATCAGATGATTTGCCCCAAAATGTCACTGCGTTTAACAAATTTTTCTATCAGAGAGTCTAAAAGAAAAATCAAGTAGCTTGTCAGTGACAATTTGTTTGAAAAAATTTTTGAAGGAAGAGATATGAATTTTGCAAGAGAACGCAGTATGAAGTGTACTATCATCTGTAAAGCTGTGGATATAGGGCTAGTGGTTGCTCTCAACAAATCATTGATATATGAAGTAGAATCAATTTTGGTGCCAAAATTGATCCTCTCCACATGGAGCCTGAAGGAAAACTTAATAAAACATGACATAGCTGGGTGGTATGTATAGTTTGTGGAGGAGTCGTTTGTGCCAAACACGGTCGAATGCTCCGAAATATGCAACGCTACAGCTTGATTAGTGACCGTTTTCACTATAGCATATACATACGAGTAGGTAGAGTTTTAAAATTGTTTTTATCCATCATTTGGTTGCCCCCTTACGAGTAACCCTCAAAAGTTTTCAAAAGAATTGTGCGAGCAAGGAATGACGGGGGTATCATCTTCTAACGTGTGATCCCAAACACTTTCTTATGCCATCAGAAAAATTTCTGCGGTCGTAGTGGGAATCGACTGATACTGACACTTCAACAACGAGGCTATGCTGGCCACTAGAGTGCTGACATATTGTCCACAGTTCTAATGAAAATATAGTAACTAGTGGACGGTGTTATTGCAACTATAGATCATATCAAAGTCACACGAGTGTTCATTGATGGTCACTACCCACTTCCAAATTGTCTACTGATCTGATGGTATCACTGAGGCTAAGCTTTGAGCAATTATTTTTCGAACGATAATACGAATTTGATATCTCAGTACCTCATATTAACAGAGTAGTATTTCAAGATGGAATGTTTATAATGAAAATGAACCCAAGAGAGATCGTATATAAGAGAGATTTTATCCGGCCTAAACATAATACTTGAAGACCTGCAAACAAAAAGAATACGAATGAGTTTCTGTTTATGAAATTACCAGAGGAAAATCAGATTTTCGTCTGTAGAGATATGATATTTGAATATTGCCCATGCCTGATCGTTCGGGCG